TAATTATAAACAGTCCTGGGTAGGATTTCCAATCACTCCACTAAGTAACAGAACATCAGGAGGAGAAAATCTTTCATTAAAAGGCCAAAATAATTTTCTCAGATTAGATTCAGAAAATTGCAATAAATATTAAGAGCATAGGAAGTTAACCTTCTTAAGCAGCAAAAACCAGACTGGTTTAAAAAAAATGCACATGGAAGACTGGGATTTCATTATCTATTGTCTGTATCTTACGGCAAGTATGTATCAGGTGAATTAGTGGGGAAACCAATTTCATAACCAAGGATGTGCTGAAATTGATTATTCTTGGGCAAAGCATAAAGACAGAAAATAACTGTGCCACTGCACATCTGTGTATCTGTCCTACCATGATAACTGTTTATTTGTACTCTATCAACATTTTGTAGACATACAAAGAAGGTACTTCAAGAGAATGAAAAATGGAAACAGGATGCATCTGTTACTAAGGAAACTCAGTGTCACAGTTTTTGATTCACAGAATTTTTCACAGGATGCTCAGTTGGGCAGTTGTATTGCAAACTGTCTGCTCTTTGTACTCATTTCACTTTTTTAATTAACACAAATGTTTTATTGACTGGATTGCTGATACTAAGTATTAAATCATGAGCTCATTCATACAACAATCCACAATTTTTCCTGTTTTAAAACAGATGCACAGGATGCCTGTTTGGTGCACTGGGGGACTGGAGGCTCAGAGATGATGAGCCTTTAGGAATCTGTGCATTTGAATGGTCTCAGTACTGGCTGCCAGAGCCATGCTCCCCAAGGCCTCCAGGTAAGGCTACTGGGGCCAGCACAGTTGCTGTCTCCAGCCCCCTCTACCCCACCTGGGATAACCTGCTGTGCACCGGAGGACGCATAGCATAGGTGTTCCCCAGGGACAAGTAGCAGCAACACAAGGTGTGCCACTGCTTCTTGTTCCTGGGGAAACAAACGTCCGTGCACATGTGGACACAGCCTCTGGGTTTATCTTGGGAATCATGTTTGCACACCTAACAGCGCTAACATTGTGCAGCTCCCCACTGAGCTTAAGGCCTGGCACTTTGGTTGAGAGTCACTGCTCTGTCTTGCGCTCTTCCTCCTGGCCCTACACATTTCCCTCTCTTGGCTGCCCAGCATTCAAAGATGTTTTCTGGGCTGCTGTCATAGTTTTCTGGCCTTTAGAAAGAAAATATTGATTATTGATATTAATGGTATTAGTTTGGAGGGTAGACACACACAAACACAGATACAGAACTTAAAAGCTGCAATATTTAAAAACAGGTGTTTAAAATGTTGAGACTATAATTTTGCTGACACTTTAGAACAATGTTATCTATTCTGTTTTGCTATTTGGTCAAATAGACTATGAAGTTAAAGCAATCTAGTCAAAATATATAATGACTTCAGCAGCAATATTTTATTGAATGTAGAATTTTGGGGGAGCAGGACTGTATACGTAAGATTAGAGATGTCTGGATCTGTTGAGGTTGATGGATCATAAAGATGAGCTAAATTTGCATAAAGCAACTCTTTGCTAGAAGTAAGCTTTTCAGTCACTTCACCCTGAACATAACCTGAATCCATTTACCTGGTAATATAGCCATTTCTCAGGAGGTAATTTTAAAGCAAAAAAAGAGTCACTGGAAGGTTTCAAAACGTGTACTGACTATTCATATAGGTAAGTCTCTCTCTCTCTCCCCCTCTTCTTGCATATACAACTCAAAACAAGTTGCTGTCAAAAGTTTTCCTACTGTATGAGCATCTATTATTTATCATCTGTGTTATTCTAATCAACTTTTTGTAAAGCACCAGACGAACAAATTAAGAGCCCCTGTCCTGAAATCATAATTTAAAACAATGATGGATACAAGCCTCATCATAAAAGTGATGTTAAACTACACATCATAGCAATTAGAAATTTTCTCCTTTTCACTATTAACTGTTGGTACCTAATTTATTTCTATGACTATACAGCCAACTTCCCAACAAGTACACATTTACCAGTTGTTTTTTTAAAGGAAAAACATTCCTCCTTTGCGAGTCTCCTAACACAGACCGTACCCAGGCTAAGTACAGGCAGTCAAAAAACCCAAGGCTGAATTGATTCAATCTTCGCAGGTTAGTCCAAGCTGTATAGATTGAACCAATAAGCAAGTGAACAGACATTCACTTTTGATTCCAGAAATGCAGCCACATGTCTGCAGTAGCCCAGGCCAAAAGCCGGAGGGTGCAAGAGCATGCCTCTCTGCTCTGGTAGAGCAGACAGCTTGAATCTGGAGGGGATCTTGGATAGAAGTTCAATAAACCAATGTAACCTAAATAAAGCCTGATACTACATCCATTCAGGTTAATTTTAAACCAGTTTCGGCCATTTTATAACGGGTTTATGTGCACTGAACTTCTGTTGTGTTACAGATTTGAACCAATTTCCAGTCACTTATACCAGTTTATATGTAATTTCTGTCCCTAGCTCCAGTGTCCAGAGGAGCTGTTTTCTTATATTTCATTTCTCATATTTCATTTAAGAGCTCTCAGTACATTTTCCCATCAGGAAAATGGAACCCTTAGGTCTGCAAAGGTGCATAGCCACTAGAGTCTTAGACAGTTGTGGTTTATGGTTCCCCATGGCTAAAAATAGACTGTCAAAAAGCCCAAAGCTGAGTTGATTCAATCTTTACAGATTAGTCTAAGCTGTGTAGGTTGAACCAATAAGCAAGGGAACAGACATTCACGTTTGATTCTGGAAATGTAGCCACACTGCAGCAGTGACCCAGACCAGAAGCTGGAAGGCGCTAGAACACACTTCCCTGCTTAGTTGGAAGAGACACCTTGGGGGAAGGCTAGCCAGCCCAACCTGCAAGGGGGCGTTGTGGGGGAAGTGTAAAGCATCCTGGGATACTGGGGGATTGTGAGTTAACTTGAATCTGGAGGGGCTCTGTGACAGAAGTTCAATAAACCGATTTAACTGATACTACACCTATCCAGGTTTATCTGAAACTGGTTTTGGCCATTTTGAAAACAGTTGTGAGTAGCTAACTTCTGTTTTATTGCAGATTTGAACCAGTTTCCAATCACTTGCAGCAGTTTATGTGCAATTTCTGTCCCTTGCCCTTGTGACAAGCCCATGCTTCTGGGGTTTGCTGGTTGCCACATGGGGTCAGGAAGGAATTTTTTCTCCTTGAGTTGCTACAAGTATCGGGGGGGGGGGGGGG